GCTCATGAGCAGAAAGGGGCTGACAGCTGGGAAACACCCAGAGACTATTGCAGTTGTGTTCACCAGGAACAAACTGGGATTATAAATAACAGTCAAACAAACTTGAACAATGCAGGAAAGAGTGTAAAAGGAGACAAAGGTGCTCACCAGGAGGAGGATGGTTTTGGTGGCTCTGGACTCAGGGGAGGACCTGGGGGAGCTGGTTTTATGAACGTGCTGCATTCTCTGCTTGTGCCTGTGCAGGATGAGCACCATGGAGCTGCTGGCCCAGAGCATGATTCCCACACACAGGGCATCAGGGAAGGTTAGCAATGCTGCAAACAGTGAATCAGTGGTTGTGGCATGATGGATGCTAGAACAGTATCCATAGTCTTTTAGATTGGTGATGGTTTTGTTCCTCCTATTTGCCATGGTGTACATAAAATTAGGGACATTTAAAAGGAGGGACAGGACCCAGCTCAGGTATATGCAGGAAATGATGTACCTGGGAGCTTTTATTTTAAGTTCTGCCCACCCGGAGTTCCCAGAACTAATCTTAATGGCCTGAAAGATGCTCAGGAGGCAGATGCTGCAAATGGACACGTTCCTTCCAGCTCTGTGAAGAGCAAAAAGCAGCTTGCATCCAATATCACTGGTGAAATATTTCATTCCAAAGCCTGCCATTGTCTCAGGAACTCCTTTACACAGGAGAGTTAACAAGTTGGCCACAATCAAGTGCTGAAGAAACAAGTCTGTGTGTCTTACCCTGCAACCAGGGAAGTAAAGGACCAGGTAATGGAGGAGAAGGGAGGAATTGCCTAGAACTCCAAACACAGTCTGTGACAGAGAGACAATTCCCACAGCCACATCACTGGCTGCCATCCTGCCAGTTCCCTGTGTTTGAAGCCAGAGGGACCTGCAGGGGAACAGGAGGCCTGGGCTGCACGTGTCCTGACAGCGGTGACTTATCATTGCCCACTCTACAGAGTTCCCGCAGGGAAAACTTAAAGTTTTATTTTCACTAGAAGGTTTTGATGAGGCTCGTATGACAAGTTGAGGCATGAAGTGTGTGTAAATCCCTGCTGTGCAGGCAGCACATTGTGATTCTTGAAACTTCACACCATGAGCCAGGGGCTGAGATGATTTTGCGTGAGGACCAGGAGAATTTCAGCACATGGAGGTGAAGTCTCTGTCCAAATCCCTACTCTGATGAGGTGCAGAGAGGGGCCTTGAAACTGCCTGAGTGTTTACGCAGAGGGTAGGTGAACCACCATCTGTCCCTAAAGCTAGTAAGTGGGGTTCTTCCATCAATTCAGCTCATATTTACATTTTTTTCTTACAATCCTGTTATCTTCTCAATGAGTGCTATTCTATAACTTTTCATTTTAAAAATGTTTCCATTTCCTTCTAAAGATTTATTCTACATGCAACATCAATTATGAGGGATCATTTAGGTATTATAATAAATGCAGATGCACTGAGGGAGTTATAGCACTGCAGGCACCTGTCCCATGGTGAGTTTCCTGCAATGGTGTAGGACTGGCTCCACATCAGGACAGCTACCCCATGACTCACTTGCTTGTGTGTTAGAAACAAAGTGCACTGATACCGATCACAGGAATGGTTCCACAATCATAGGCCAGTCCTCAGCTTTAGAACATGAAGAATGAACATGGCATACAGCGTGTAGGGCATAAAAAATATTTACTCATTGCAGAGGATATA